CGTTCACAGGTTTGACTATTTTATATACGCACGCGGTATAGTATATTGTTCGTGACTCTTTCTTCCTTCGGCGCGAGGTACAAAAGAACAGTATCTTGAAAAGACAAGTATAGGCAGGTACTGTATTATGTTTCGCATTTAGACGATCGACGTCCGAGCTCCGAGATGGCTCGGATCGGTGCGCCAAAAAAAATCAATCGTCGTCTGCATCCTCCGAACCAAGAAAAATCTTTAACAAAAGTCCACGAATTTCTGGATCCGCACGATAACACGATCTTCGCGTTGAAATCACACCACGCGTTTCTAAATAAACATATCTTTTGCCGCAAAATCAATTCGAGAATGTTTCAATCGTCAAAATTCGCACGTGTAATGCGCACTCCTCGGTTTAGCGTTCGTCGGGTTCTCGTGCATCGTCGCACCAATCCGAGCCGCCTCGGTCACGGACGATCGAATCGCGTCGAGAATTTGACTCGTGTTTTCCTTTTTCTATCTAACGTCTCGGTCGCTGATCCGCTCGTCGTCGCAACGACCGAGCGAATTCGGGGACTTTCAGGGAACGAAGTTTTATCATGCTCGCTTCGGGCGCGTTTTACGTTTGTTCAGGGGACCGCCTCTTCCTCCTTCAAGCAGGAATTTCGTTTAGACTCGACGAAATTAGAAGCAATTATTTAGGACCGGTAGTGTACAGAAGGTTCGATTTCGTCAAATTTTCACCGGGCCTGCTTGTTTCACCCTCTCGAGACAAATCATCCGTTCAACAATGTATCTTAGCATTTTCTTGCTCGTTCTTCTCATTCTTTTACGTTCGTCTACCAGCACCTGATTCTTTCCTGGACAACATTTTAGTGTAAAAAGATTTGAGGTTAGAGCGATATTTTATCGCAAATCAGTAGAATACAAACACGTGTAGTAAACAAGATCAACAACGTTCATTTTGACGTAAATAAATTTTGCTGAATAAATCTTGTAGCAAATTAATTAAATGCGAACACGTCTGATAAGCAAGATTTATAATGTTTTTATTTTGACCGAAATAAATCTTCCTAAATAAATCTTCGTAAATAAATCTTGCTAAATAAATCTTGCTAAATAAATCTTGCTAAATAA